ACTGGGTCTCTCCATCCTTAGGCATAGGCTAGATGGTATGTATGCTTTACCTGTAGCCTGGCTGATTTTTTTTCCAGCAATATCTTACTCTACGAGCCCAGTGAACCTACCTACCTTCACAGTACTACAGTTTCTTGAGCATTTCTCAATCTCTCCCAGTGCACATTGCTAACCCTGTAGTTCTGCTTTCTCATGTGTTTTTAATTAATTTTATTATAAAAAGTGCTGTACAATTAACATTTTCTGCCTAGCCCACTTCTTTACGAGATGTGATTGCTCATGTGAAATGTTGTCATGTTTTCATGCTTGTTAAACTATGCACTACAAAAAATAAAGAATGCAGAAAAAAAAGGTTTTTTTTAAGTGTGTGGAGAGTTTGCATGTTTTTTTGTGAGTACTGCTCAACAAATAAGAGAAATGTACACTTGATAACATTTGCATGGATAGTGGAAGGTGTGGTAAACTGGTATAAACGTAAATGTCATTTTTCACGACTACAAAAAAAAATTCTACTTTTGCAATCAATACATAAAATTACGACATGATTTAATTCAAACCAAAAATGTTCTTAATTATAGGCTTTTTTCACACCCTTCCAGTACATACACTATTATATCCACTTGATTATGTGAAACAATAATGTTTCTGTTTGTTCTGTGTTGTACTCATTTTTGAATGGTTCTCCCTTCCAGCACACACACAATTAAAGGGACACTATAATCACCTGAACAACTTTAGCTCAATGAAGCAGTTTTGGTGTATAGAACATGCCCCTGCAGCCTCACTGCTCAATCCTCTGCCATTTAGGAGTTAAATCCATTTGTTTATGAACCCTAGTCACACCTCCCTGCATGTGACTTGCACAGCCTTCCATAAACACTTCCTGTAAAGAGAGCCCTATTTAGGCTTTCTTTATTGCAAGTTCTGTTTAATTAAGATTTTCTTATCCCCTGCTATGTTAATAGCTTGCTAGACCCTGCAAGAGCCTCCTGTATGTGATTAAAGTTCAATATAGAGATAGTACAATTATTTAAGGTAAATTACATCTGTTTGAAAGTGAAACCAATTTTTTTTTTTTCATGCAGGCTCTGTCAATCATAGCCAGGGGGGGTGTGGCTAGGGCTGAATAAACAGAAACAAAGTGATTTAACTCCTAAATGACAGTGAATTGAGCAGTGAAATTGCAGGGGAATGATCTATGCACTAAAACTGCGTTATTTAGCTAAAGTAATTTAGGTGACTGTAGTGTTCCTTTAAATTCAGTGAACTGGGCATAATAAATCATTTATAATGTTCTATGGTTTGGTAATTTTTGCACAGTACTCAATGCTATTTGTTGTTTCCTTGTTGTTTAGCAGTTTTGGTGCAGTATAGAATGGGTTTTTCTTCCATGCGTCAATCAATTCTTCAGCATAGACTTGATGCCAAGGATCAATATCCTTCTTCTCCCACTCATAGCAACCACAGCACATGCACTGTGGTTGTTATGAGAACTCCCCAGCCAACACTGTTAGCATGGGCTAGGGAATATAGTAACTATAGGAATAGGGAATATAGGAATAGGAACAGGTTTTCTGCCCGTTCCCTTCACTGATTTTCCCTGCTTTGCAAAACATGCCCAAGCAGGGCAAATCAGTGAAGGGTACGGGCAGAGCGCGGGCGGACAGGTCCTCTTTAAACCATCAGACTGACCTTTATACCTAACTATAACTTGTCATGCTCTCCCTTGACCCAACACATTCTCTAAACCTAACTCCTCTACTGATTCTGGAGCTAATTTTAGTGTTAGTTAAAGGAATGAAATGAAATATTTGAACTATACCCTATACAGGCACCTTTATCCATCAGGTACAGATAGGTGAGTGAAGCAGGTGCATGCATGTCTCCTGCACTGGAGAGTTCATTTAATTTACACGGCATGCCCTGTCAGTATCTGGACAGCCAGGCAACACTACAGAAAATATGGGATAGAGCTGAGTACCTAAAGATAAAAAATAACAAATAATAGAGCAACACTGTATGATTTTATAAGCAGTGCCCTCACTTAATATGGAACTCACAGACTCCAAAGAATTCAGCGCCTTAAACTTGCCTTCCCTCAATAGGGTGGTCACGTACCTCTGTCAGCTTGTTGCTTTCTGGATCGAAATCAGGAATCGGATACGTGAATATAAAATGATTTGTTCGATGTAGCAAAAATAGAAATTTATAAGATAAAATATAAAAGCAATATAGGTCTCCGGTCCTACGCTTTTCATTTCAGTAAGAAACTTCCTCAGGGACCAATTCAATACAGTTACAATGATCAAAAATTATTACTAACAATAAGTCGTCCCTAATTGTTAGTGATAATGTTTGATTATTGTAACTGTATTACTCAGCTGTATCCCATTTTTTCTAAACCATATCTTGTTTATATGAGGTCACCAACAGGGAAGGGACCTTGTGAAGCTTTTAAAAAAAGCTAAGTAGCTTTATCCATATATTTGCACTTTTTGGTGTTTAGTGGATAATTTGTTATATTCTGTAACACTACAGAAAACTTTACAAAAGCGGAGCTGCACCCCACAGAAAAACATTAGTCATCTATTGTGTTTTACGAAAAGTCCAGTTGTGATACTTCCTATTTAACTTTGATTGCGTGATAAGAGATATGTGACAGTCACTGGCATAAACATGAGATAACCCATTTACTATAAATCTGTCAATCTGCCAACTTATCTTACTCTATCAATAGAAAGGGATGGTTCTCTGCACATTCTCACTTTTGTTCGAAGTAGGGGTTTCTAGGACTTAGTCACTTACCAGCTTCTTTGGAACTATATTCATATAGTAACCTGCAAGGAGGAAGTATAGTTTAGAGCAGGGGTGTCCAAAAGGAAGATCCCCAGATGTTTTAAAACGACAGCTTTCATAATGCTTTGTCATTCTAAAGGCATTCTAAAGGCATGCAAAGCAACATGGGAGTGGTAGTTCTAAAATATCTGGGGGTTTACCAATTGGGCACCTCTGCTTTAGAGGAGCTGGGGCAGAGGAGGCAGAATCAACTTAGAATTCATTCTAAGCACCATAACCACTTAATCTTAATGAATTAGATATATTGCAAAGACCCTCTTGCTGAATCCTTTCTTTTTTTTTTTTTTAAATAATAATTCTAAAGAGAAAAACATTTATTTTTTATTGTGTAGGCCCGCCTTCCTGAATTGTCCATCAGCCAGTTGGAATACTCTCTTCCTGTCTGGCAGTTTTGTGCAATGTTTGTGTCAGGGGTGTGACTAGGTGGAAAAAACCCAGGTGCATCAGCCCAAGGGTGTCTTTTATAGCCCCTCCCATGTATATTAACTTAAGCCACTCACAATGCCATGCCCAATGTCCAACCCTAAACCAAAACATGTTCTATAAATCACATGGAAATAACCTATGAATATTGACTATTATATAAAAGTATATTTGTAAACGTCAGCCCTGCTGTATTAATCTCAACCACGGCATACTTACCCTGTGCCCACAGCAATACTGCCAAACTGTACTTTATAACTAACTCTAGTATTGTTGCGTTAAAGTGGCACTGTCACTAAATATGTACTTGGAGTTATTTCTCTCTCACTATTAAAAGGGATGAAAATGGAATTTAGGCAAAACTATACCTGGTGCCTTTCAGGAGCCTCCTTGTGGCTCCAGAGATTTTAAATCAGAATGTTAAAATTAAAGTTAAAATAACTGATCTGGAAAAAATACACTCTGCTCTTCAGAACAGTCCAGAGTGTAAAAATCTATTTAGATTACTGTGCACATTTCACTAAATAAAGGGTTAAATCTTAATTCAGCGGCAAGTCTATTCTGCATCCGGGAGATCCTCATTGCTGACCATGTCCGGCCCAATCCAATTCTTCTCATAGAGAAGTAATGAGAAGCACAGTCCATGCATAGAAATCATCACATAGCACAGCCAGTGCTTCTAATAACAAAGCTCTGATTACGGTGCTTCTCTGTAATGCATTCTGCATTGTGTTAAAGCACTTAAATTAATAATCAGAGAAGGACACCTTCCTAGCTTTCTGACTGAGGGGAACTTGGGAACTTTATAAAAGTTCAGATTTCTCCTGAAGCAGGCTGAAGTGGTCCTGATGTTTTTTATACCCTACTTCCTATAGACCAGGGATAGGCAACCTTCAGCACTCCAGATGTTTTGGACTACATCTTCCATGATCCTTTGCCAGCATTATGGCTGTAAGAGCATTGTGGGAGATGTAGTCCACAACATCTGGAGTGCTGAAGGTTGCCTACCCCTGCTATAGACTGTAAGCTTGTTTGAGCAGGGTCCTCTTCAACCTATCGTTCCTGTAAGTTTTCTTGTAATTGTCCTATTTATAGTTAAATCCCCCCTCTCATAATATTGTAAAGTGCTACAGAATCTGTATGCGCTATATAAATCCCAATAATAATAATAAAAGAGTGTTCCTTTAATTTGCTGCAATTTGAAGTTTAAAGAACAAACCTGTATATTTGGAGTATGCATACAGACAATTTCTATGAAAACAATATTTTCATGTAAGAATCCATATGTGGGGTTTTAAGCCAAAAACTGACAGGGAATTGTAAAAGCTAGGGATAACAGAGCTGGAAAAACTAGCTACCGGTATGTTGAAAACTTTTTAGTTTGACAACTTGTGCCTAAAATTCACAACTCCCTAGTCATTTCTCCAAAATTCCCAGTTTAGTATATAAACCCTGAATGAGTTACAATACATCCAGTTCGTTGGTGGCAAATGCACCTCATTCCATTTAGAATCCTCTGTCATTCCAAGACAGTTTCCTCTCTGTGTGGTGGGTATTTGTCTCGGACCTAGCACTTTAATATATGTTATGAGTAGTGATGTCCCGAACGGTTTGCCGAACGGTTCGCCACAGATGGCGAACATATGCGCTGTTCGGTCCGCCCCCTATTCGTCATCATTGAGTAAACTTTGACCCTGTACCTCACAGTCAGCAGACACATTCCAGCCAATCAGCAGCAGACCCTCCCTCCCAGACCCTCCCACCTCCTGGACAGCTCACTAAGAATGCAGCTTCACAATGAATGTAAAATGGATGCTGTCCAGGAGGTGGGAGGGTCTGAGAGGGAGGGTCTGCTGCTGGTTGGCTGGAATGTGTCTGCTGACTGTGAGGTACAGCGACAAAGTTTACTCAATGATGACATAGGGGGCGGACCGAACAGCACAAATGTTCGCCATGGCAAACCGTTCGGCGAACCGTTCGGGACATCACTAGTTATGAGGTTGATAGGTAGCACTCCTGTGGCAGGAGTTAGGCTAGTGGTCATGGTTAAATCCTAATGTACATGATTGTGGCAGATTCCAGCATTTTGGCTGTAGATTGGAGTTGTTACAGGCAGGCTCTGAAAAGCCTGACTGGTGAAATGCGCATGTCAGGGGCTCGCTTATTGACAAATCCTTTTTGCATAATAATGCTGACCCAAGTTATATGTTTGATTGCATAGACTTTGATTTTGGCATAGCAACCTTCTGTTTCCTTTATTTTTAAGTTCTATTTCTATTTTAATATGTGAATTCTTCTTCCCCTATTTACTTATTACTTTTGGCATGGCTCAGGGATTCTTAGAGGCAGCAAGATAATTGTTACTCTGCATTTAGTGGATAGGTGCCCTCAAAGGCATGCTGCGGCAATTCAGATTCAGTAGCGGATCTCGTTATTTCCCTGGGGGCTCTATTTAATGTATTTCTTTGTTTTTTCCATTAATTCACCATTCTTTATTTGTGATACTATGTATGTTTTTTCATTTATTTTATGTGCTCTACCATCTCCCATGAATTGTTCAGGCTGTGATATATTTTTCCCTTTAAAATATTATTGTCGTATACAATTAGCTTTCCTTCCTGTGAATACTATTATTGAGGAATTTCAATCCTTCTATCCTTCTAATGGTCTGTACAAAAATCTGATAAATAGATATAGTAACAGATGTCTTTAGTAGGATTATTGCACTCATGATCAAGATACTTGCAACAACAAAATATCATTTTTTAGATCCATTCTTAGGAAAGAATATGTCTTTCACTAGCCTTACATTAGCTTGAAATTAAACTGGGTTAGAGATATCTTTATTACTTTCGAGTGATATTAAAATGTTGTTAATTGCTTTGATGTTTGTGGTATTTTATATTAGCATTAATAAAAGTTATATTTTATTGAATATATATATATATTTTTTTTCTATGATATATTCGTATTTTCCCCTACATTATAGGCATGTTGGTCCAGAGTTTTGTGTCTAAACTGGGTTCTCCTGTAACTGTGCATAGCATAAAATGGGACACGTTAAGCTGCTGGGCTTAATGCTCTCTGATACTGTGAACTCCCCCTGCTAACTGAACTGACTAAATAGGCGACCATTAACTAGACCCATTCTAGCAAAGAATATGTTGATTTCTCTAGAGTGGTTCATATCTACAGAAAAGGGAGCTGGCCTGTTGTTTTTTCCTTGTTATACAGTGAAGATACAGTGTGGCTACATTTTAGGATGTTGCTAGTGCTACAAAATAACTGACTGGAGTCTACAACAGAATGCAGAGCTAACTATTACACACAACAATGTCACTAGTGCATTTAAATATATAAAGTGAGTAAGATTTTTAGTGTATGATGTTAATCCAGACAGGCACAACCATAAAAGCACTCATGTGAACTTGTTCTGACATAGGTCTTCCATTTGATGATTCTTTAAGAGGTAACGTTGTTATTATTATTATTATTATAATTATTATTGGTATTTATATAGCACCAACTATTTCTGCAGTGCTTTACAATATTATAAAAGGGGGAAATTTAACATAAAATAAGACAATTACAAAACGTTATTTGAATAATAGGTTGATGAGGACCCTGCTCAAAGTGCTTCCCATATCGTATATAAACCTTAAATGAGTTAAAATACGTCCAGTTCGTCAGCGGCAAATGCACTTCATTCCATTCAGCAGCCTCTTAACTGTCATTCCAAGACCGTTTCCTCTGTCTTATCTAGTAGGCTCCCAAAATAGAGAACTTGTGGCATCATCTTGAAGACAATCTATAGACCACAACACACGCATGGTACAAACAGAAATGCAAAAACAACATATTACATTTTATTTATTTTTAAATAACAATTAAGTTGGCATTGTGTTTTCTTAAATACATATAAATCTTATGACAGGGCAACCCAGGCACAATCAATGCCACATGGGCACCCCATGGTTCTACCACTTTCACCTCTGGTTACTAGATAGAGTGTTAACTGCTGGATGCCCAGCACTTGGGAAATGAAACACAGCATGTGTGTTAATGGAGTTACTTTAAACATTCTGCACACCATATTGTGGCGGTGTATGAGTGTGTGCATGTGCGTGAGTGTATATTTGCATGAGTGACTTGTGTGTTTGTGTGTGTTTTTGTGTATGTGTGAGCCGGTGGTGGAACAAATGTAGAGAGGGCCCTGGTACAAGAATGTTTTTTGGGTCACCCAGAAGGTAGATCCCCATCTGTCGTACAACTCTAACGATGCTATGTCAGCTGGGGATCTACCATTTGGGTGCTCATCAGTTGGCGCACTTAGGGCCACCCAATGGGCATATCTAATCAGGTGCACAAATCTTAGCACTTAAATGCTAACTATACACAAATATATGCCTGCATTTCAAAACAATACTGCCTACAAACACACCCCTGCATTGAAATACCAACACTACATGCAGAAACACCCCTGCAGTCAAACACCAACACTACATACACACACATCCCTGATTACAAACGTAAACACTACACACATTTACACCCGAACATTCACACACATACTCCATACAAAAGCATGTTTACATTTAACAACCAAACACTGCTCACGAATACAACCAAATCATCATGGGAAATGTAGTTTTACAAGAGCTGGTGTGCATCTTTTGGTCACTCTCAATTCTAATTCCTCTATGGAGAATAACAAACCAACAAGCTCTTTACATATTTGTCATGCCAAAAGCATGAGTTGGTGTTTGATGTGTGTTTATATATGTTAAGAGTTGTTTTTTTTGTAAACCTTGGGATGACATTTATTGTGGTCTTTGATCTTGCACCAGGCCTAGACCATAAAACATCTAGATAGCCATCACCAGAGCTGGACACAAGGAATTTCATAGAGTGGGCAATAGACTGCCAGACCAGCCCCCTCTGATCCCCCCCCAGGGGTCTGCCCACTGAGAAACAACTAGTTTAGATATATGAGGGTGTTGGACTATCCAGGGAAGCCAGTTATTCATTTTTCTTTTTGTCAGTAACTTCTAGGAGACCTATACCATCTAAGACTCCCACAAGAATTCTATATGGGGTAAATATATGTAGGGAATTTCTTGTGTTTTCTCCTATTTTATTTTATGTACTGTTTTGCAATTTGTTATCTGTATGTCATTTATTTCTGTATTTTATACTCAGCACTGTGAATACTTTTTGTCAGATTAAATGTTTACTTAATCAGCTTGTGTCTCTGTTCTCTATGAGCTTCACTCTCCAGAGGAAAGCTCAGGTAAACACGTTACCAAAAAGGGTTAACTATATATGTTTTAGCAGTAAAAGTAAAACTGTGATACTATAATTCTCCTGTGTGTGGGGTAACCTAAGACGCCCGGGTTTAAAAGTCTTGGTGGTGGAAGTAGAGTAAAATGTACTAAGGGTGTTAGTGTAGAAGGGATTGCAGGGGTTAATTGAGTGGTTGCTGGGACTAGCAACAGGTAACCAGGGGTTTGGTGTCATTAACCCTGTCACTTCCACACTCTCCCCACTGTCTCGTCTGGGCCTATAGCCCACGCTCATGACAATATTATTTGCTCAAAAGAAAATAATAGAAACTTCTGGTTTTACAATATTTCGCCATTTTGAGCATTTTGTTCACAATGTACCAGCATTTTTGTTCTGGTACATTTAACAAGAAAATTTGTGGTTAGTATTTTTTTTTCTGTGTGTGAAATTAGGTTTTGTGAGTTTCTATTTTTACAATTTTCATGTTATTTGGAGACATAACATTTTATACTGTTAATCATTCCTTATACAAGGAAAATAAATTAGGATAGTGGGCACTAGAGAACTATTTCAGACATATATTTCAGCTGATTTTACCATATTTTATTCTCTATCTTTTAAAGGGACACTATAGTCACCTGAACAACTTTAGCTTAATGAAGCAGTTTTGGTGTATAGAACATGCCCCTGCAAACCTCACTGCTCAATCCTCTGCCATTTAGGAGTTAAACCCTTTGTTTATGAACCCTAGTCACACCTCCCTGCATGTGACTTGCACAGCCTTCCATAAACACTTCCTGTAAAGAGAGCCCTATTTAGGCTTTCTTTATTGCAAGTTCTGTTTAATTAAGATTTTCTTATCCCCTGCTATATTAATAGCTTGCTAGACCCTACAAGAGCCTTCTGTATGTGATTAAAGTTCAATTTAGAGATTGAGATACAATTATTTAAGGTAGATTACATCTGTTTGAAAGTGAAACCAGTTTTTTTTTCATGCAGGCTCTGTCAATCATAGCCAGGGGAGGTGTGGCTAGGGCTGCATAAACAGAAACAAAGTGATTTAACTCCTAAATGACAGTGAATTGAGCAGTGAAATTGCAGGGGAATGATCTATACACTAAAACTGCTTTATTTAGCTAAAGTAATTTAGGTGACTATAGTGTTCCTTTAAACATTGTGTGTATCATGACAGATATATTTTAAGCAACACTCTTAAACTTCATAAAGACACTAGATTTATTTAAATAGTCCAGAAAGACCATCCTTAACACCTAGATCCTAGACGATAAACCCACTTTATGTGCCAATCTAAATTAACTCATATGTATAAACTGGACTGGGTTGAGGCCTCCCGGTGTGAGAAGTTAAAGGTTACCTGTTTTTTTTTACTAATTAGGAGCCTTATAACCATTCCCTTTAATCTCAACATAACGCTCTTATTGGCAAAAACTTTCAGTTCACTCATTTGTATTCCCTACAAATTTGTTGTGAGAGGCCTCCACTTTCACATGTATATTGCATTATTTGTAAGAGAACCATGCATTATTTTATTTTAAATTTCTATATTTTTTGCCATTTTTAAGTCAT